CATATGCTTACTTAGTCAGTTTATGTGCTCACACGTGACTAGCGGAAAAGTGCAGATCAGTTTTTCAGTTCATTATGTATTTGAGGTCAAGTTCAAAATCAACCTTAGACAAAGTCCGCAATATTGCATTTTAAACGTAGTTGCATCACATACACTGAGCTGCACGCATCATTAATTATATGTCGATACAAATTATTTTTTTTCATTTAAAGATTAATAATTGTCAAACACGCATAGATATTCCTGCGCTTTGACGGTGTGGCTGAAGGAATACTTACGTAAATAAAATATGTATCAACTCACTAGCTAACATGAGAAACTTGCGGGTGACATCAGCTGCATAAAAAAAGGCAGACTGTATATTACTCACTCATACATACACGCACTTCCGTCTCAACAGGAAAAAGTTCCGTCATATTTTGTGGTAAACGAATGGCACATTAAAAAAATTGTCCTGCTGAACTCGGCGGTACAAATGGTTACGACTGATTTCACTCCAGCATCTTTCACAGTGAAATATCTACCTCCGAACGATTGAGGGAAAACCACAAACATTCGAGACATCGAAAAATTAACTTCTAATCAATAAATACACTCCTTGGTTACTTGAAGAAGCCGTCCGCATTCTGTGGATTAAAATATACCATCCTTGTTGGACGGTGAAACAAGGACATGTCTAACACTGTTGCAAAGATTATAAAATAAATCAGCTGCGAAATAAATAAACCTCCCGACCTTACCCGAAACCACCCGTCAATCTAGTTTCGATCTGCTCCATAAGGTATATTCTTCTGTTAACCATATAACAACAAAACATCGCACGTGCATACACCGCATGCGCAGACTGAAATTACGCAGCGCCCGTAAGTGGGAACGTGAAGCAGCAAGCCATGCACAATCTCATCACTGAATATCGGCTTCAAAAAGTGAACAACTTTGCGGCCGAAATGAACAAATACTCAGAAACTGTCATCGATTTCTCGACTGACGAAGAGCCCAGATTGTTAGAAAAACTTCTTGCTCAAACTGT